GCGTGAATTCGACCACTATGGCACCGGGCCGGCCCCCCCACCAGTTGTTTTTTGATATCATTTGTTTCTTGCATGGGTTTCTCTTTATCAGTTATTTTTTTCATCTTATTCCTTGTCTTTTCATCTTCTCCTTTTGCTTTTCACCGGTTTCATAGAGGTCATGTCTCCTTGTACTTTTTTGAGGGTGCCAAACTATTTCCAGACTTTTCTTTTGGTTCCATTACTATATCCAGTAAGCTCTTTGAGCATTTCAGAGACCGTTCCTTTTGCTTTACTGGAATCTTTTTTTTTCACATGGCTTGTGTTTTTCTTCTCCATTTTCTTTTTCCTTTAAAAAGTGAAATCTGCCAGAAATGTTTTCTATCAACAAATAGGCTTCCTTTACCATCCACTTATGTTGAGGTTAATACGCTTCTCATATCTGCAACTCAGGGCAGGTTGACCTACACAAATCTCAGTACAATTCTCAGTTTCTTGAAGGCTTTCGCTCAGATTAAATCTTTACTTACCCTCCCTGCTTGATTTTCTGGTGTGGGTGGAATATATGAAAACTAAAATGTGGAGCACTTGCTGCCCCAAGAATTTTTCCTTTCTTTACTGTCTCTTATATTGCTTTGTTTATAGGGACTGTCCTCAGGATGTGAGTGTCTTCCCAATTCCTTTCAACTTCCTTTCCAGTTGTTTTCTAGAAGTTGTTGTCCTGCCTCAATGTACAAAGATGGGAGGAGGAGGTGGAGAGAGGGGTGTGTGTGTGTGTGTTGGGGGCAGTGTGCAATAATCTCACTAACACAAAGATCTGCACTGATGGGAACTTCAAGTGAGCTGCCATTTTACAAAGGATACAGTCCTTGAGTGTCTGAATCAGGTAGCCTACAGTAGAGGATGTTTCATTTGCCTTTTCTTTTCTCAGGTGGCCTCAGTTTTATGAGGCTTAAGCTAGTTATGGCATGACAAGAAACCTGGGCAGGTGTTTGTTTTTCCTTTCCTGAATCCAGTGTCCAATTTATGGTTAGCTTCCAGATCCTTCCAGGTTCTGATGTGATCTGTTGATGTTAGTTTTACATGTAGTGGTATCTTGGGTTATTTCCTGCATGTTCAGAAATTGAGGAAGGTTGCGTGATTCAAGATGCACATGGTTTTTTCCTGGCTTTGTCCTCTGAGGCCTAGAGAGGGCTTGTGCTTTTAAGTCTGGGAATAGAGTTACTAAAAGTACTTATTGTGATATCTTTATGTTTGGCTTTTTTACGAGGAAGGGTAAGACTTTTACAGTTTCATCTGAATGTGACATTATGTAGTGTTTCTATTTCAGATAGCAGCAGCAGCAGGAATGTTTCACTTCTTCAGAAAGCCTCCGGAATCTAAAAAGCCCCCGGTAGCAGAGACAGAAGCAGATGGATTTGTCCTTTTAGGTGAGTCTTTTAAGAAACAAAATCATAATTAGACGAATTATTTTTCATTTAAAAGGTTACTTGCAAATTATATGATTGATTTTTAAATTATTTCCTACTAATTCCAGAATTAATTTGTGCATGTGAAATCTATAAAAATAAAGGTCATGAGTCACTTAAAATGTCAAGTCAAATACTTCTTATATATTAGTTTGTCTGTGTCGTTCAAATTCAGTTTGTAAAATCATCCTGTTTTTTCTATCTGATACGCTAGCATTAGTCAACCTTTTTAATTGTGAAAAACCAAAAGTCTTGAAGAATCTCTGATAAATTCAAGTTTTGTTTTATAAATAGCACTAAGTCTTGCTTCTAAATTTAGCATCTGAAATTAAATTAGGCATCCAATAAATACTTGCTGAGTGAAGTACACTTTCAAATCTAAATATGTTAGTGTCTTCTAAATGTTTAAGACTGGTTTATTTCCTATTATAAAATTAATACTTGCTAATTATTAAGATTTTAGTGGCTTTAAAAAATATTTCTTTCAACCAAATACTATGCCCTTCCCAAGGGGAATTCTGAAAAATAATATTTCCTTCATGTCATTGTGTCTTTCCCCTGAGGAAGAGATTGGCAGTCTTTGTATAGTTCTTCCTGGCAGTTCTGTCCCCAGAGGGTGATGAGGAGGAACCAAAACCCAGTGTCCCCTTGTAGCATGCATTCTCTTCCACTCTGGACTTCCTCCTGGCGAATCCGGGCTCTTATGAGAGGATTTGCGTGAATTCATGGGGTGTTTGCTCCCTGGGATGTTTCTCAGGTGTCTCCTTTTCCAGATTCTGGTTTTCTAAGTCTTAATGTCTTTATCTTGGCCCTGTTAGACTGGGGTCCCCTAGCATCGGCAAATGCTCTGTATATCTTGAGAAGTGGAGGATGGCTCCTTGGATTTAAGAGTGGTCCTGATTTTCAGTTTAGGCCCTCTCAGAGCCAGGGCTCAAAACATGCCTCTCACCCCACACGTTCAGAAGTATGGGTGGGTGGGTCTCTCCCTCTTCAACCCTTCTCTTTAGGATCTGGTCTCTCACAGAAAGAACAAAAAGGTTTCACCTCTCTGGTCCTCTTCCATTTCTTGGCCTTAATCTCTGGGAGACCAGAATAGAGTTTTTCTTGTGGCTAAAGCTTAACGTAGAATATCCTGTCTTTCCATTCAAGTTCTGGCAGGCTTCTGTGTTTTTCTGAATCTGCTTCCCTAAGGCCTGGGACAGAAGCAGTAATTAGGGTGATCAGAGTTATTTTCTGTGACCAGATCCCCTGAGGCAAAATGGTGGGCATAGTCTGACCAGGGCCGGTGGTTCTGGGGACCTTCTGACTGGGGTAAAATGGGGTGCCGTGGACATGACTGCTTACCTGGCCCTTCTTACCACGTAAGGAATTTGTGCTTTGGCTTCCAAGTCAGAACTGGCTCTGTCAACCCCAACTTCTGTTCCTTGAAAGTTGCCAGTGTTGCTTCCCTCTTACCTCCTGAATTAGCCTCACTAACAGAAAAACTTCAGGGATGCCTCTGGTCTCCTATGAAGTTTCTGCTGCTTCAGGAGTTTCACAATAAATTGTTCTCTCAGAAATTTGCTTCAACAAAGCCTAGTTTTCCAAATTCTTTTCTGTATTCCTCATTTTAGAACACCTCTGTAGTCTTAACACATATGCAGAGGACTTTGCTCTTTTCTGTTGTTTCATGATTAGAAATCAACATTATTCTTTTTGTTACCAAATAGCCATTTAAAGATGAGAGTTTAGTGCTCTGACATCTTTGAGAGCACATACAAGTTCTAATGTTGGACCTCAAAAACTCTGTGTACATCTTCTTCACCTCTGTAGCTCTGTGGCCTGCCACTTTGCAGCATTTCAGAGACAAGTTTTAACCACAACTGAAACAGCCCCTGGTGCTGCTCTTTCCAAAATCTCCTCCAGGGTCCGGTAGCTTGTAGTGTGTAGATGTTTCACTGCCTGTCTTATAGCTAGCCCATTAGGGGCCCAGTTTCCAGGGTATTCCGCCTCAGCGGGTGAAGCTTATCTGCTGTGGACCTTTCTTCTTCTAGGAAAGACTCTAATTTAAGAAGTGGTCTTTCCCTGAGCCTTAGAAGACACAGAAACCTCCAAATTTGCTAATTCATGAGGGAATTTCCAGCACTTCATTACTCCAATATGCTCTCATCTACCAGCTGCTCCATCTGATATATTCACGCTCTAACGGTGCATTTTCCTGAGGTGCTGTGTTTTGAGGGAGTTTTCCCAGGACCATTTTGGACTGAGCAGGAATGGTGGTGTCCCCTGCACCATGTGTCTAGCAGTTGGCCAGTCATGGTGAGGAAACACTTCCACCGTAGTTCCAGCATAGCAATTTGATTTGAAGCGCAGCTGTTGCTTACCCTTGTTCAAACGATCCAAACAAGACAAGTCACTCAGATGTTGGCTGCGGCCTCCTCATCCTTCAGCTCTCATGTCTGCTGATGCTTGTCTCTGCTTAGCCCTATTTCCCCCCAGGTGCAAAGCTCCACCGCTTCATCATTTTCCCTGAAAAATCCTTGGGTATCTGCTATTTTTTAGGCTTAGCGACTGTCCTGAGGTTTGGATGAGGTCAGTCAGCATCACTTCTTGGCTCTCACTTCCTCTTTCCATCAGTCACACCATCTCCCTTCTTTCTCAGGAACACCTCAGAGGCACTACAGTGAAGTGCAGATAAGAATGCTGACTTGAGCCAGACCCCTTGGGTTTGTATCGTGGCTCCACAACTTACTCGAGTTTCCATTATAGGGGAGGCAAAACGTTACCTCTTGCCTCTTAGGGTCCCTGGGTGGGCCTGAGAATTAAGTAGACATAAGACAGATTAAGGAGAAAAGCATACAGGGCCGGCCCTGTGGCTTAGCGGTTAAGTGCACATGCTCTGCTACTGGTGGCCCGGGTTCAGATCCCGGGCGCGCACCGACGCACCACTTGTCTGGCCATGCTGAGGCGGCGTCCCACATACAACAACTAGGAGGATGTGTAGCTATGACATACAACTATCTACTGGGGCTTTGGGGGGGGTGGGAAGGAGAAGAGCATACAGATTTTTACATGTATGTGGGAGTCCCCATAGGAAAATGAAGACCCAAAGAAGTGGCAAAACCTAAGTGCTTATATACTAGGTTGAACAAAGAGGCAATTGTGGAAAAGTAAACTATGTGGGAGGACTAGAGGAAGATAAGAATTATTTTAACCAGGTCTGTTTGTACAGAGTTCTCCTGGTCTCCACTGCCCATCTCTGGTGATAAGAATGTTTTTTTCCTTCTAGCATCTTCCATATGAGGGTTTTTATCTCCTGCTTTCAGGAAGAAAAGGGGAGGTCAGAGTGCCCTTCTTGCACCTGCTGTTTTTCAAGTGCCTTTCACTCAAAATAATCTTTGTGCGAAAGTGGCATATTTTGGGGTGTGGTATATCTGCCACCCTTCACCATTTTGCACAAGTTAGGTAACCTCCCAGGTGTCATTTAGCTAATCTAGAA